CCCCAAAACCCCAAAACCCCAAAACCCCTCTAAGCAATTAAAAAGTATTTTCAGCGGAATAATTCAAATTTAAATTCAAATAAAATGCAAATAAACCAAGAGGAATATCTAGAGATCAAGGAAGATAATATTGGCTTCACTGATGATAATAGAAAAGATCCATCACAACTTGAATAAGTCATCTTTAGCTCAGAGAAAAAGCAATCTCCAAAGAATAATTTTCTAAATCTTTCTTCCAAGCAAAGCTCATCATTCAGAGACATGAACAGCGGGTTCTCAATTGGTAAAATGAGGCAAGAAACCAGAATGAGCAGAGAGCATAAACACAATTGGAGATAAATGCTAACTCCCCACTAGATGAATGACATTTCTTAAAATGACTACAATACTAATAGAGATATAACTAGGCCTTCATAATCCCCTATTCAGAGAATATTGGGTACAGATTAAAGTAGCAGTAAAGGAGAAGAGTTTTAGACTCATGATTTATCAGACGGAGGATGCTTTGTAGGAGAGGGCCTTAACAATATGAAATCTTTTAAGTCTGAGGAAGAGGAACTAAAGGACTCTATAATTTCATACAGAATCATGAACTCTTAACGCAATGTGATGTCCATCAATTCAAATTTGAGATCAATGCTTCAAACTCTAAAAGGCAATGAATTGCAGTTCTTTCAAGATCTTGAACGAAAGTATTTTTAAAATGCCTAGAAAAGAGACAATTCAAGTTCACCTTCTCTTCAATCTAACTTACAGCATTCTGATTCTAACATTATTGATCAGATCGAAGGTATTTCTTAAGCAAGCGAATCAAGATCTTTTATTGAGAGATAAGGCTAGAATACCAGTAGATTCTAGGATCAGGAGAGCGCTAATGAGATTCAAGATAGAGATTAAGAGAGACATGAGAAATATGGTGTTCAGTTCAATCTGTAAAACTACTTTAAGGAGTTTAATGATCAAAAATAGCAACAAAAGTTGAATTTACTTCAATAGAATTCTCAATATCAAGGATCTATAAGAGAGGAGGATCAAGATTCAAATTAATATGAAGGATCACCATTGATGTCAGAATTTAATCTCTCTCCAGGCATAGCCAGAAGAAGATTTGATGATAGAAATCTCAGTCCCCCACTTACGAGCCAAATATTTCAAAGTAGTGATTCCAGTAATCCTGTTTTAATTAGCAACTAAGACACTCTAGGCACAAATAGTTAAGTTCAACCCTCTTAGTCACTTAATCAGCATAAGTAATAATTAAACATAGATTTGGAGTAGTTAAAAAAAGATTATGAATAAAATTTGAAGGCATCTGAGGAGCTTCATAAATAGTAAGTGACTATGGTTGAAGAAGATGTGCTTTAAACTTATAGAAATAATTGTGAGATGGCTAGACAATTTGTCCATTCTACTAATTAGTAATAAACTAGCAAATCCTTTAATTCATAAGTTGAAAACAACAATTTTATAATTCTTAGCAAATCAGAATCAAGCAGAAATAACACTCCTGATGTTTATTAAACTGCAAAATGGAATAATATTGCTCAGATTGGTGAAAGTTTTTAAAATACAATTAACAATCATAACAATCTCAAGGAATCCCAGACAAAGTAGATCGTTGAGAGTTAACTTTCAAACAATGAAAAGATTATATTTGATCATAGATAATTAGAGAGCTAGAGAAGTTCAAACTATCAAAGCACTGGAAGTCGAAATGGCAATGGCCAGCAAGTAATTAGCTTTAATCAGTCTAGTTCAAATAGAAATATATATCTTTTTGAAGAGAATGTAGAACTTAAAAATTACTTGAAGAGAGCTTATTAATGTGTTGTAAAGTTTCTTAATTGCACCGACTAATCTAAACTAAATTCTGACATGATTAATGAGCTTTAAATATTTGCAGAGTTAGAACAGAGGAAAAAAGATTGGATATTCGAAAATTAATAAAAGCATTTCAATCAATAAAATCTTCTAAACATCAGAGAAGGCTAAGAGTATGAATCATCTTAAGAATCTTAGAAATAGTTTCTAACTAAGTCATCAAACGAGGGATAATAAATGCAGAGATAGTAAAATAAAGAAAATCATAGCAATTCAAGAAATCATTAGCATAATTTTAGCCATCCAGTTCAAAGTCTATCAAGAAAAGAAAAGGATCAAGGAATGCTAAACAATCAAATTCAGACCTATGAAATTTAATCACAGTAGCATGATTCAAATAACAATAATACACCTCAGTAACAGTTTTATGAGGTCTAGAGTATAAATGAAGAATCTCAAGCCAGCTCAATCAAATCTAACTTATCAGGAATAAAGCAGAACTTAAAAGAAACCAAAAAGAGCCTACTTCAAGCTAAAAAATTGCTGTTTTAGGAGAAATGTATTAATATCGACCACGAAAAATAAATATAAGATCTACATTCATAGATGGACAATATTAAATCATAGGTTAAGCAGCTAGAACAGTAAAGTTTCTAGCAAGTTAATCATCCAATGAGTTATATGCAATCCTAGGATTACTCAAATTACATTAATGGCTTTAATAGATAGAACTTTATGAGTGGGATATATTCCCCAATGAATTAAATGTAAACTACATAATGCAGCAATTGCCAAAAATCTACTTAGTGTACAAATTAAAAAAGTGTTAGTTTCCCATACAGTCCAATCTTTATGGGTACTTTTAGCAAAAATGCAAGCACCTTGAATAAGAAATAAAAAAGGTCTAAATTTTCTTAGGATGACTCATTTTTGACTTAGAAAGATGATTCTAGGAATGAGGAGAATGAGTACTCCTTTTTAAAAGATGAGGCTGAATTATTAATGTCAGAAAAGTCTAAATAAAAGACATTAACTCTTTAAAGTCCCACTCATTTTAGACATGATACATTCTAAATGCCAAACTTTAGTGATAAAAAGTCTGAATACACTGAGACAAAGTTAAAAGATTTGGAATCTGTAAATACCAAGTTAAAGCAGTAAATTGAAGATAATATTAGAACATTCACAACTATTCAGTAATAACTAGATGATAAAGAATGTGAGCTGAAAAAATGTTTTGACCTAATAACTTAGCAAAAGTCACAAATTTAAACTCTAAAAACTTAATTGAAATCTACCAATAACTCTCTTTAGTGTCTCATTGAGAACTAAAAGTAATAAGAGGACCTTCTACTTGAGCAGATCCAGAAATTCAATCACGGCTAGGAGGAGTTAGTGACTATTAAACAGCATTATCATGATTGCAGAAATCAGCTTGAGTATTTCAAGAGCAGATATGAGTCTTTCACTAGAGAAGCTCAAAATTAATCTAGAAATAGTTCGACTTGCACCCTTGTTTAGCACAGTAGTGAGAAAAAACCAATGAATCAGGGAAGTCATCACTATCTTTTGATGACGCCTTCAGAGTAAAAAATGATAATCACTAACAATCTAAGCACCAAGGCTTAAACTAAGGAATAGTAAAACTCATATTCTTATAACTAGAATGACTCTCAAAGAGATCTACTAAACAACCACATTATAAGTGAAAGATCATCGAAGGCGGGAAGTATGTTTTTAAATTCAGTCAACAGAGCTCCAGGGACCATTCATCATTAAAAGCGAAACACAGCCAGTTTTAGTTCTCCTAGTGAATTCTAGCCAGGTGCTAATGGTTACGATGAATATGAGGCAATTGTGGTTACTGATGGAGACTGTGAAAATGAATATTAGAGCGAGAGTATCAGAAAATTCTAGGAAATAAGAAACAAAGTCAATGCTAAATTTGGATAGATAAGTCAGTTAATTTAAGATAAACACCAATCAAATGACATGCATTATCTGAGAAATTAAGATTACTAGCTTCAGCAATATCAAGATGATTAGAATAGGCAAAGTAATATAATGGTTGACGGGGTTCAATCATAGCTCAGAGTATTATCAGCAACTGATCTTGAATTTTTCAACAGCATTACCTAAAATCAAATGTTGAGGGAAATTCCAAGCTCAAGATAAAGTCAAGGATTCAGTACTGGATCGCAAGGTATAAAAATGAGCAACCGAAGGTCGCCAACTGTGATAGTGCATGATCAATACAGTGACAAGGAAAATCTTAGCAATGCTATGTACTATGAAGGGAGACTCCAAAATAGTAGTCTCTTAAAATATTCAGGGGATACATTTGTATGATCACTTTTTAAAATATAGGTGAATTAGTAAGAAATCGATTGATTGATTTTTGAGAAAATGTTAAAATTGAGTTAATAATTTTAATTTAATCAATATTTTTTTACAAATCTTGAATATATTATCAATCAATGGAGTAATTATTTTCCTTTTTAATCTTTAGTTCAAAGTAAGCCAAAAAGAAAAATCAATCGTTGAGAGGTGAATAAGAAAAAAAGCTTTCATTCAAAGAGTAATTAGCAAGTAGATTCAGTAGTATGAGCATTTTCAAGAAGTCCTCAGAATCCAAGCTAATTGAGTCAGTCAGAAAATCATCATCTCAAGATTTCGGTATTAAATCTCTTACACAAAACGACGTTGACAATTGGAATAATAATTTAATTAGCTAATATAGATGAAAATGGAGTTTAGTTGAATGAATTCAGGAAATGCTTAATAGAATTGAGTCTGGTAGGAATGATTTAAGATGATCTGAGACTTAGTGATGGGATGCAGTTCGAAGTCATGATTGGAGATGAACTTGTAGCCAAATGGTTTGAGCCTAAGCAGTATATCAACTCCAATGGGCTCATTAAGAAAATTAGATTTCCCTTCAAATTTAGATTTTTAAATGCAAAAGTAAATTTCTTCTTATGTAATTCTAAAGATATCAATTGAAGTGAATCCAATTCCTGATGACAGAGTAATTGAGTAAATGGCAAATTAAGATCTATAGTTTCAAGATTATACCATTTGTATGTAAACATCACTCATTAAATCAATAATAGATCATGGCATATTTGATTTCAATTAGGTACTTAAGAATCTCTAAGTCTTAACACCAGCTTATTAAATACCTGTCTAATTGTAAATACAAGTATTAAATCAAGTCAATATAGAGACTATTCTAACAATAATCTATAATTAAGCCTCAAGGAGTATCAAGAATCTCATCATATTTTGATCAAATTTAACATTTAGCTCTCTTAAGAATAATCGCAACTTCTAGATATGGACTACAAGATCAAGATGTATCAAATTAATTCATAATTGTATAATAGGTGTGAAGATAATGGATTTTATTTTTCAAGGATTAAGATAGTCAAAGTGGAATAGATAAATGAGCAGTCGTTGCAACTATAAATTTGTATACCGAACTATGAAAGTATTTAATCTCTTATTAAACCTATATAAAGATAATCTGTTTGCTGAAAGATAATTTGCTTTGACTTTTGAACAAAACTACCCGAATGCCTAAAATTCATTCATAACACCAGTTACTTATGTCAAAGGAAGTGTGAAATTTACAGGTGAGGATCTACAAGACATCGAACAGCAATAAATTGAATATGAATAGATCCCTGTATAACAAAGAGTTCATTAACAAAAACAGACTGAGGAGGTAAAGCAATCTTATCAGAGCACAACAGTAAAAAGCAATTAAAATGAAGAGTTGATAAGCAATAACTAAATCGAGGAAGAATTACACTAAAATCTAGCATTAAAAGAAGATTAAATAACAAAGGAAAAGAGATCATGGACAGTCGAGCTAATTGATGAACACAATCCATACCTTACCATTCCAAGGAAAAAGGTTGATTTCTATAGGTAAGATATGCAAACTTAAGGAAAGAGTATGCTGTTCGGGCCTATTGTTAGTGAGTCCTACTAAAGTTTGATTGACGTCATGAATCTGGGATAGATTTAAGTTGTACCGATGATTGCCATTGATTTTAGCTTAGCAAATCTCACTTTTTTAGAGGACTAATGCCTGCATTCAACAAAGCCAGAGAAGTAAAATGACTATAGAGATATATTGAAGATGATAGCTGAATCTTATTAGAATATTTTGAACATTCCAGTCTTTGGGTATGCTGCTAAGACTGCTACTCATTCTTAAAAAGCAGCCTCAATTTTTCCACTATCAGCTGATCTAAGAAACCCTTTTATTACTAATGATCCAGAAGTAATTGATGAATGCTATTCTAAATGCCTTAAAAGTCTAGAGCTTTCCACACCTATCAATCTTTTGCCTGTCTTTGAAGTTGCCAAGCATCTAGGCATGAATGTCAAGAAGATTATAGATGAAAACAATGGCAGAATAGACTGCTTTTATGTACTTTACATCCTCTCTCCTGGTCTAATAGACGATTTGAATGATTTACTAGAGACAATAGATTCCACTTGGGATGGCTTGCCACTTCAGATACACTTGATAAATCTATCTACCTCAAATATCGTCAGCGAAGATCTTGATACTATAAAATTCTAAGACTTTACCATGAAATATAATCTCTAGTAAAGTTGTTGGAATCAATTCAATGTTCACTTCTATGATAGAATCAAATCCAAATTCTAACTTAGACATGATCAAGCTCTTTATATGCTTAAGGATAGTGCAGTTGAAAGTGTACCAAAAGATATAGAAACATTTTTATTCCTGAATTAGCTTAAAGCTAATAAATTTGCTTTTAAGGGCGAAGCTGTATAGCAATCTTTGATGAATGTTATTAACTTAATTGAAGATAAGAATGCTCAATTGTATAAGCAAGCCGAAGAGCTTGGAATTGATTAGAAGATTGTTGAAGAAATGGTAAATAAGTAGAGATTATTTGAATGGAGTATAGAGACTTTATAAGCATTGATTAGTAACCAAAATAGTGAGTATGATATGAGAAATGATAGGAAAAAGATCATTTGAAGATCTATTTACTTTGAATTTGGAAATAAGTATTATCATATAGTAAAAAATAGATTAAATTGCTATATAATTGTTTACATGGTGTTAGATTGAGGGGTTTTGGGGTTTTGGGGTTTTGGGG